GGCCCCCCCCCCCCCCCATCCATTAAGAGCCTAGTGGGGGCCCCCCCCCCCCCCCATGGAGACTCATGCAGTTTTCTGGATTTCTCTCACAGCAGGAAGAGAGAACGATGATGAAAACAGGGAACAGGACGTAGAAATGTACAGCGTTCATCATGGAAGATGAGAGCATGTAGGAATCTGAAACGCCACAGCATGAAATGAGACCATGGCATCGGTAACGCTGAAGGTGTCATGATCAACACTTAAGCGATCGGAAGCCAGGGGTGAGTCATTCGCTTCACAGATCGCCACTGAGAGATGATGCGAGACCGATCTGTTTAAGAAGTAGCCTCTCTGCTTCCTCAGTCTCACAGCCAAACGGCATCTGACCATCACAGTCCAAACGATAAGCCCTGCTGGATTCTGGAAAGACGTTCTAGAACCTTCCTGCATTATATGCACCAACTTAATGCCCTGATAACCAGCAAAAAAAAAAAGGCACACTCAGCGAAAGTTCGGTAAATCACCCATGTACTCAGGAACAAGTCTAAAATAAAAAATAATCTCTGATGTATATGAGCCATCATTCACGTCCAATAAATAGTATAAAAATAGTTATGGTGTCTGCCGACTATGACATATATATAGACTGATGATAACCAATGCATTGTTAATGGCACCTTTTACTGAATGATCTCATTTGATTTACAGCTTATTTTATTGAGGCGTCTTAATCTCTGTGAAAGGCACTGTTCATGGATACTATTCTAAAGCCAATTAATAAACAATTCTTAAGCAGTGATGGTGAATCAATCAGTCCTGCATCTGCTGCAAAACTAGGAAACTAACTAGACTTTTGATTAAAAAAAAAATTCACTTGTCATGTACTGTATCATTTGCTTCTGTCAGCGGAAATAAACATGAGGGAACAAAAACGGGAAAAGAATTACTGTCCTAAACAAAAGTAACATCAGTCACTATTGAAGTGGTTCTTGGTCTTTCTGGAGTCTTTTGCCAGTTTGTAGAAGAATATAGTATAAATTTTCCTTTCAGCAGTGAAAAGCTAAATATTTCCTTATTAATAAACAGTTCCTTCTGTAGTCAGAATAAGTCTAAATTTATCACCTACGTTTAATTCCTGACAAAGCAGACTGGTTTATTTTGTTGTTAACTTGGTTGTACACTGGATATCAAGGACTACAGTGCCTGCTAGCTGTTGTTCAAGAATTTAAATTTAATTTCTATTTTACTCTTCGGTCAAACGCAGTAAGGTAACTGTGAATCGGTATACCTTCCCACCGTTCTCTCTAAAATTAGGAAAGAACATGGAACAGCCCCCCCCCATTCCATATTTATACAAAAAGCATTCAAATGGGGTGAAAGTTATTCTGGAGGTTAGTAGGTGAAATAGTTAGGCCTGAGCAGAACTAGTGAAATGAGGCAAGCTCCCCACCAATAACCAAAATGCGCAGGTAGAACACTAGAACTATGCTAGAACAAGTAACTCAACCACTAATAAGAAGCAACTGATCTTTGCTGCCCTATGATGGAAGGCAAATGTAGAAAAAGGTAACAAAATGATTAATTAGGGAACGAGTGCTACATTAGAAGAAGTGAGTAAAATATTTTAACGACAGAATTTGACAGAAGAATTAATGTATGAAACTTGAGGTTTTGATCGATTTCGGCCTTAGCAAATGCTCCCCAAGATGTAGATGTCCACTAGGAGTTAGCGCTGCCCACTGGCTGTTCGCTAACAATGTTGGGTTTCAGAGAGTCTACCCCTGGCAGCTGGCAGAAAGCTCGCTGTATTAAAGGATGCGTATCAGTCGTTAAATGTGCTCTCCTAGGCTGGCTGTTTGCCCCTTTGGTCTTTAAGCTGTTTTCTCGAAGCAATGATATTTCTATTATTACAACATCAATAGAGTTATTTGTTGCCTACAGTGTTTGGGACATTTTGGAGGGTGGGGGGGGGCTGCAATCAAAAGATACAATCTGCTGCTCTCTTTTTCAGCGAGACTGGTGTTCGAATGAGATGAATATCAGCAAACATCCTTCCCTGCTGCCACTTATGAATCACTTCCATTGAGGATGAAAGGTACACGGCGTTCTGTGAGCGACTTGTGGCTCCGCCAAAAGCCGCTCTCTCCACTGGGCCTCTGCTGTGCCACACTGACCGGACAACATTCTGCGTTCCACAGCCAACATATTACTGATGGCAATTTGCAAATAAAATTAAAGCCAAATTATCATTATTAGTACAGATAGCAGCAATACCAAAAATGACCAGGGCAATCCACATGGACGACCCTAGCTTACTGCTAACTGCTTCAATACTTACTCACAAACACAACAAACAACAACAATAAATACTACAAGATGATATTTTCAATTTATTGAAAATGATTTCTTTCCAAAGGTGCTTTTCTTACATACTGTAATATCATCAACAACGTATTGACTGCTATAATGATTTTTTTCTAAATTTAAAGAGGGTCAGATAAATCAAGTTGTGATAAACTGAGCCTTAGGGGGAAAAAAGGGAAGGGTTTTTGAGTTTAGAACATTGAAGTTGCATCCTTTGGGATAAAATTACAAGCGAGGCAAATATGTCCATGAATTTCAGTATTAGAGATTTACAGGCAAATTAAGAGCTGAGCAGAACATGTGACTGGTGGTTCTGTGCCAGTTATTTCGGAGAACATCACAGAAAACATCCCTGCAGTGGCATGAAGATAATGAACATAAAAGTGGCGATAAACCTTGCAAAGCTTTGGAATTTTCAGGACATGTAATAATAATGGAATACTAATAAACCTCCATTTTAAATTACTCTAATTCCATGTGGACACCTGCTCTTGCCATCAAATAGGCCACACACAAAACAAGCACATATAAGGCAATTCATGATCAGTGCCAAATTCAGTCCGACGCCCTTAACATTCAAATATAGATCAAAAGTGCAGAGCATGGAGAATGGAAAAGGAAAAAAAAATACATAAAACATAGCTTGCGGATTGAGGGTATATATTACAATATATATTCCAATTTATAATACAATTCAGCCTTTTTCTTATAAGCATTTGTTACACATACAGAGTAGTATCTCAGGGAATTTGAAATGAGGGTTATCTGTCCCTAAAATTGCCTTTAAAAGTGTTACGTTTTAAATGACACTGAAAAATTACAAATCTCAGAGTCAAGACAAATATCAGTTGCACAGGAAAAAAAAATGACACTAGGATATACCTAATTAAAGTGGCCCCTTCAGGCTCAATTTAAATGAAATTGATTATACCTTTTGTGTACAAAATAGGGTCAGCTTTAACAGTTATTTTCTTGTGCATGTATGTGGGTGGAGTGGAAATTTGCTGAAAGACCCCAAAAACATAAAATCTATCCCTAATCCCCCAGGGAATGTTAATTAGAATTCAGTTTTGCTGAACTGAAAAGAAAAAAAAATACAAAATACAAGATATTCATCAAGTAGCATTACAAGATAATTGCCTCTCAAACACAGGCTACTGTTTAGGTTTCATTTTTCTTCCCCATGACAGCCTCATAAAAAGTCCCTCACAACGTGTTTGCTTTCGTCTCCTAAGTGCTTTAGAGACATTCTGAACATCTGAAAAATACCGCATGCAACAAAAAACGTACTTGTTACTCGATTTAAGATCCTAGCTGTACTCTTATAACACAAAAAAAAGTCACATTTGCCTCACTCGCAAAACACTGCTATTCACAAATGGCCCTTTGTTTGAAAGTATTTATCATTGTTGAAGCAACAATATGCCAGCTCGCTAATTCTCCTTTAACGTCAATGGTCCATTCAGCCTTCTCAATGAGCTCTGTTGCCCACACTCCTTTTTTCATATTAAAAACAATTTTCAGCATGACTTTCTTGGCAGCCTCCCCATAAGTAACAAAAGAGGCTGGCGAGTGGGCAGAAGAGGGAAAAAAAAAAACTCTTTTGTCACCCTCATTGACAGTTTCTGCGGTGCAAGTTTCTAGATCCATGTGTAAATTCCCAAAGTGCTGCTCTACCAACTAGGCAAGCAATTAAAACATTCTGGTCTACCTGGCAAACAGGAGACATTTTTCAAACAGTACATGAAATACATCATAATAATTCACATTAAATAGAGGCCTCTCAGTGATGCATCACAAAACTGTTACATACAGTTTTAACTAGCAATGAAATGAAATTCCTTGAACAGTGAACACGTCCCTAGTTGACCATCACAGCGTTTTCCAAATAAGCGAATTTTAGCAAACGTGCCCCCCCGCCCAGCTCCCCCATAACTGAGATGCACTATGTACTCCAGCCTATACAAACTTCACTCTAGAAAACAATCTCCAAAAATCAGGCCTCCTCCTGATTCACTACCATTCTCTAATCTGCAGGAATGAACTACATTTTAACAGGTTCAGATGTACGTTTAAGAAAACTGATACAAAAAGGTTTCCTTCGTTTTTCCACTTTTTATATGGGGCAGACTAAGATTTGCATTAATAATAGGTAAATTTTGTAAAGAATATTGAGACAGGATAAATGAGAGCAGGATAAATAAAGACTGTAACCTTCACCCGGCTTACATATGAGTGATTAACTTTGGGAGCCATGCATGTAGAAGTTTGCACACGCTTACTAATTTAATTACTTAAGCAAGATGAAAACACATCATAGGGAAAAAAAAAGGTCCAGTTTGTCTTATAAGAAGATCTATTCAACTTTATGGGTCATGAATGGAGTCCACACTTCAGTGAATTACGTGGGTTATCGAGAACTCTGGGCGTAATTACTGAAGAACAAGCAATTTGAAGTTTCCGAAGCATCGTCTAACGTAAATGCCTCCTAGGAATTCGAGCATCATTGCTGCTTTTCCATGAAACACGACTCAAAGGGCACTCATTTCAGACGCCAGCAGAATTCATTTTATATTATGGTATGGATAAAAACCAATTAAGGGCTACAGCTTAGATTTTTTCCCCTTTAACAACATTTTCATTTCATTTATCAACCTTTGTTGGCAAAGAACCATCCAACAACCCCCAGTAACTCAAATATTAAATATATTAAAATTAACATTAATCATTTTTTTCTGATGCTCTACATTCTATATTTTTGAGAAATGTGTTGAAGATATTAGTGTGTAACATGGTCATTTCAGTGCTCTGAATGCTAGCAGAGGAGAAACACACACAGTCTGAAACACTTGCTTCGTTAAAGGCGAGATGCAATTACCGTGTTACGTTCTCTCGTTAGCAGTGGCTCCAAATCCTCCAGCTGATGACCAAAGCAACAGCAGGCCTCCTCACCGCATCCTTGCAGACCACCTCCACCACTCGCTGTGCCCGGTTCCCCCCATCCCCACCCCCCGTCCTGCAATAAGCTCACACAACCGCTTATTCCCGACGCCTTAAAACCTCCATGCCAGTTTAGCAAAGCGTCCTCCTTGCTTCCTCCCTCCCCTACAGGCCACGGACTGAAATTCTCCTGGCTACCTGAAGTGCTTCATGTCGATCTCTGGCAAGCAGCCAGGGCCGTCAACTGCGGGAGCACGGCGGCGGACGAGGAAAACGCCGGGGATTTATCGAGGAGCACTGACACTGTGAATCTCATACGACTGTCCCGCTAATTAAGACCCAAACTTCTTTTATGTGATCTTTGGTAGTACATCAAAATAATATCAATTTGAGTCAATTAGGCACAGAACACAATGACTCAACGCATTGTTCCAGAAAGATTTAAACGAAAGAGGGGAGAAAAAAAAAAAATCAAATGAGCGTTTTCACAGCTTTCATATTCAACAAATGAAAGCAAGCTGTCTTGCATATCAATGTACAATTTTACCCAGACACTAATTTCAATATTTTAATTAGAAGAGTAAGGTCTCGTTTGCCAATAAAACATACCAGTTAAGTAGTATTCATTTATAGGGATCTTAAGCAGCAGTATTTTCTCCGGCAAAAGCGGGACTTAAAAGGTCTTGAGCATATTTAACCTCTTCAGTCCCATCGCGTGTTGAAATCTGTTAATAGCTGAAAAAATTCTGAGGACTAGCTCTGTAAAGGCCACTAAAAAGAGCATGTACACTGTGTGCTTTCTGTTTAAAATTCAGAATTTACTGTGCACAGCGGGGGGGAAGGGGGTGAATTAAGGATTTGATTTGATTAAAACTAGAGGAACTGCATTAAAAAAAGAGCATTAAAAAGAGTATCTATGAAAAAAACTTGAACATGAAAGCTTTTCCTTTTTTTTAATTACTTTATTAACACTCACGTGAGACAAGCCACTGAGCAGAAAATTGGAACGAGTCCCAAAAGTATGACAGGCCAGAAGGCCTCTGGCCCCCACCCCCCACGGCCCCACATCACCACCATTTTTCTCCCCACATCACATCTGACCAATAACAGGATTGCATCAGGCCTGGGACACATCGGCACGGAGATCACCACCTTTCAAACCCATGCATCACTCCACTCGGGATAAAAACACATTTTTAAAAGATGGCACCGTTCATGACGGACCACTCACACGGCTCACAGAGACCTGCACTCGGCAGAGTAGGAACCACCCGGGGGGGGGGGGGGGGAAGACATATGAAAGAACCACTGATTTGTTACACAAACACAGTTTAGCTATATTAACAGAAAATACTGCTTCCCACAACAAAGCTACCAGCTGAGTTTGGTGCTCAAATTTTACTCCAGGTCTAGTGTACAAAAGCGAATATTTAATCTGACACACTTTTATGCTCTTTGGAATGACATGTAATAATTATATAGTTTACGCCCCATGTTTTGCATAAACAGTAACCAGAATTCCAGGGTTTGCAAATTACCAGAGTAAAGAAATCACATCGTACAGCCCTGCTTCTTAAAGCAATGACAGTCAGGATGACTCGCGCATCCTTGCTAATGTAAGCCTGCATATGGGATTTTATATTTTAGCCACAACAATGTGCATATCCTTGATTTACCTTCTGGACCCCACAACTTCACGTCTTCGGGTGCCAGGTAGATGTACATTATGTCTGCTGGCCTCAGAACAGCCTAATTCCAGGCCGCTGGACAAACGTTTCCTACCGCATTTCACAAGAGCTACAGAGAGTGTGAAAAAAAGCAATCACCCACAAGGACCTCGGAGAGAACCCTTTAATGAACTCAAAATATGTAAATAAAATGAAACTGCTGCATCTGAAGCATGGCTGTCTGGGAAAGAAGAATGACAAAACAAACAACAAAAAAAAACAACAAAAAATCTGTCTTTCAGACTGGCATTGGTATACTGTGTGGGCAACATGGATCACTGGATCCCTTTGAACCAAAGAGGAAAAATATCCTATCACAACAGCCATTAGGAATCAAAAGTTACAGTACCTAATTAAAATGTAAACAGCGTAATGAAGACATCTGTGTTTCACGCAAACGCCTCTTTCCGTGCCACTTGGGGTATGCTAATTACTGAAGCAAATCTATGAACGCACGAGAATCCCATACAAGCCCAGATTAAAGGCATTACTGCTAAACCTAGTTCTGTACACTGGGGGATCGCCTCTTCTCTCAAATTCCCAGTAGACACCAGTCTACCTAAACTCCTTAATAGCATAGATACAGTCAGAGAGACAGAACAAAACCAACAGTTTGTGGCTTGGAAACACAAGGAGGGGAGGGGGGGGTTGTTTATTGAAATTATTGAAATTGCAAGCTGAATATGACAGAGAAGGTCTGAGCAATCTAGCAACATACTGGAAGAAACAGCCAATAATTTACATTATGGATCCAGCCACCAGAAAACATTAAAATACAGAACAATATAGGACTACACAAGAAAATAAATGTAAAGGTGTTAAGAAATTCACTTTATATTTGGGTCATGCACACTATATATTTTTTTTATGCACATAAAAAATCATTCATGTAGTAAAATGTCAGGTTTATGGGTGAAAAAGCATTGTTAGTTTTTTATGAACTTTAACAAACATAGTTAGATTTTTTTATTCAGGCCTAATCAGATTGGAATGGAAAATAATTTCTAGCAAACAGGATGATAGGTCCTTAATCAACCTTTTGAGTCATAAATTTCACCTTGATGTGATGCTTGTGAAAGCAACCCATACATGACTAAGACAGTATGTAAGTATATATATATGTATTTGAGCATATAAAGTAATCAGCGTTTCATATCAAGAATAAGTTCATATGGACAGTAATCAGGCATGATTAAAGAGTAGAAATGTTTATGTGCTAAAGCATTGCTGATTGCTAAAAGGTCTCACGCACACACACACACACACACACACAAACAGTTAACCCTGCAAACACCACAAAACAGTGGTCATAGTTGTGTCTTCTCCAGACACAGAACTATACCTATTTTGCTAACCAAAGTTAAGCAGGGGGACCCAAATTCCACCCCATCCCCCAAAAGGAGGACAGCAACACGTGAATAGGTAGCATCTTGCACACAAAAACAAACACATGCATAAAAAAAATCTCTATACAATACACTGTCAATCAGAAAAGGGAGGGGGGTCTGTCTAAGGCAGACAGTTTCTGCGTCTAAATGAGATGGTGTGTTGTGGGGTGGGGGGGGGATGGGGGAGATGTCAAGGATTCACGGTCCTTCATCTTTGCAGTAGAGCAAACACGTCTCTCAGTATAGCAACAGACAGCTGCTTCCAGTTTCTAATACGCTCCAACTTAGATCACTGAAAGAATTGTCAGTGCGCAGGGAAACACACAAAGATAACACAGGCAACTGGCATGAGGGAAGGGAGAGACTAAAGAGAGGGAGAGAGAGAGAGACGAGGGGGGGACAGAGCTCAGATGAAATGGGATTTGTTCTATTTCCATGAGTCTGGCTCCCATGGGGTCTCCCTGGCTGTTCAGATGGAAACCACAAAAGACAACACTTAACATATTTGCTTAAAGATGACAACCTCACGTCTGTTTCATGTGAGCCGCCACCTCGCCAGGGCCGGAGATATGAGGAGAGATAACGTTCATTACTGGCGCTGACAAATGCCGCCACCCGGGCGTCTTGATCGCTCCATCCGTTTAAGCGGGCCCGGCGATCCCCCCACGAGGGCACGCTCGCGGGGGCAACTTAAGTTAGCCGCAAGATCTTCTTTTAATGGTCAACATTACGACGTGATAAATATCATCAGTCTAATGTATTCACATAATCCTGGCGGGAAATCGCACTAACCCCCCCACCCCTCCCTCCCTCCCCGGGCACTCCCCCCACCCGCAAGCCAACGGAATCTTCATTCCAGTATCCCTCCGTCGCCATGTGGATAAAACGGCCGCTTGCGGATCGGCGTCGTTTGCCGCCTTTCGTCAGGTGACGTGCCCTAGGGCCAAAAGCGATAACTACTCAAGGCTAGTCGACGTTATCATTTTCCTCCTCATTATCCCTTCGTCAGGAGCTATTAAAGCACGGAGCAGGATTAAGATAAATATGGCAGTACGGCCACAATGGATAGCTACGCGTACCACCGTCAATTAGTCAGAGCAAGTTCCGACAAAAGACACGCATATGCAAACGCAGTGATGAGATCTTAATGTACAATTATTAGCTCCAAACAGGCCGTAAGTTCCTGAAACTCCCCATGCTGCCCCCCCCCCCCAACCCAACCTTAATATCACAGCAGGAGAGGCACTATATACAGCATGCTATGTAGGCCACTAACCATTGCAAGTACCGCTGCTTCACAAGCTAATCATTTACCAAACGACACATTAACATACCAACACAGGTATTCTGGAAAAAACCCTGCAGAAATGCAGATGCTATTTGTACATCTCAAAACCTTGAGCCATGTTTGACATCCTGCACATAATTTGAAAAACCCCATAATAATATTACAAGCACCTGAGCTACTGGCATCTTTTAATCTTGCGCTTACATAATCCTGGTTTGACTGCGATATTTGGATGTATAAACCACCCCCCCAGGCCTAGACTGAAACAAAAATAACAGGTTATTGACATCTGTCGAGCTGTTCCTCTCCTGTTCCTGTGTGGCCTTTTAAATTAAAATAATGTACAAGTAATTCACACACGTGCTGTGTAATGCGTAAACACCAAGACAGTTAATACATTGAATTTTAAGGTATTTGCCTCACCAACAAAAACAAAAAAACAACAGGCACACATAGTCAGCAACATGATCATTCGGGATTCATAGTCCAGACAATTTGCTCACGCCAGGACTCACTGACACTGAAAGTCAAAGCCCCATCCAGCCTTACAAACATACCAGTAAAATCTAATCTACACCTTTGTGAGGCTTCACAGACTCTTGGATGTTTCTGAAAATACTTGCTTACATGCGTTGTAACTGCTACCCAAATTCTAGAAGGTTCAACTAAAATTATATTGGTATATGGTTTAAATAATTTTTGACCCTTAAACTTCTCTAAAAATGGACACCAGGCCATTATAAACACAGAGGAAACCTGCTACACCAGCTGCACATTGCAACCTTAAAAGAGGATTTCTTTATAAGGCAAAGTATGGACGGGAAAAGCAGTCTCAGTTCAGTTGGCATTGTATGTTCCCTGTTGCACTGTTAATGGTGTGTGTGTGTGTGTGTGTGTGAGAGAGAGAGAGAGAGAGAGAGAGAGAGAGTGAGAGAGAGAGAGAGCCAACAGTGAAATGCTATGGTAGCATATGGGTCCCTTTCAGGCAAAATACCAATAATATTTTACCTGGAGTTGTAAAGATCAATAAAATGTATATTTTTTTAAGTATCTAAAAATGAACATGACACAAAGAATAACTGCAAAAATTTCTGAATTCTCTTTATATACATATACATGGAGCAAAAATCACCTGTCGGAGAAAATGGTGTATTTGAAAGTATATCAAGACTATCAAAATAAACTTCCCGACTGAGTTGTCTCTTTTCCACGCTCCCCTGCGCAAATAAGCTCACAAAACATCTAGTGGAGTGAGGGAGGTAGAAAAAATTACATGGGGGGGGGGAGGGGGGTCAATGTCCATCAACAAGCCACAATCACATCTGAACCCGGCACCGTGGAGTTACCTGTCCAGCTCTGGTGACCAAAGTCAGCACCATACGGCGAGGAGCAAACTGACACTCAAATGTGTGCATGTCTGCAAGTCAACTCAGGTCAGAAATGAAGATTTTAGCCCCGCGTGTCATGCAGTGTCATTTTTTTTTTGTTTGTTTGGGGGTGGGATAATTAATTAATTGACTTCTAAAGAGTTGTCCTGAAGTCCAGCATTTGCCCTTAAAAACGAAGGCACATGGTTCTGAAAAGAAATCAATTACCAAAAATACAAAATGACTCCAACTGTACAACCCACAAGCCGCTCAACAGAAAAAAAATTAAGTTTGATTCATGCTTATTGTACACTGTCGCGTGACAGTTACCACATGCTTAATAAAGCCTCTTTTATATGCATAATTCACATTAATATTCAGGCAAGTCTGAATGGTGTGTGTGTGTGTGTGTGTGGTTTTGTTTTTTAATATATCAGGCCAATCCAGCTGTCATAGTTATGTCCCTTGTATGCCTGGTTTGAAAGACTTGATACTAGACCAAGTACCTGACAATCCTGAACTGTATGGCAACTACGTTTTTTACTTGTCAAGAAGTGCGGTAAAGTAATAAGGAAATTTATCATGCGTGGAAAGTGACTGTGAGAAATAACGACCACAAGACGACACCTTCTCCTTCCCCTCTGAACAACACCCTCGTTAATAATAGATATTAAATACAAAAACTGTAACCAATACAATAACAGTAGGAAAAGACCAAGGAAATTGCAATTTTGCCCCTGGCTTTCAATAATTTAAATGTTTCCCTCTAACTCTTTAACTCAGCACTGTTGGTTTCAGCAGATGGGCCAGAAACCCAAAGGCTCATGTCTGTTCATTTTTCTGTTAGAAAACAAAAAAAAATCAATGCTATGTTAATAAAAACAAGACAAATCCAAATCCACAAGAAATCCAAACGGCTAAGACGAGCACTGAATTTAGTTTACAATTAAAAAATGCATGTACAGTGCTCATATCCACAGGCTATATGTTTAATATATCCCTAAATCGCATAATATTATCACGCCACACAATTTATTATATGTCATAAAAACAGTAACCCACCATCTGCATCAATATGTTGAGTTACATTTTGTATGGTGGACAAAAAGTATTATAAAATATTATAATTATCAAGACCAAATCCTTTTCTATGGCACGGTGAAATTTTACCATATGACTGCAATAAACGCCAACCCTTATCTATTTTATAAAGCAATATATGTTTTACTTACTATCAGGACTGACTAATTTAGGTGACCTATCCAACATTTCCAACCTGCAGCTTCGCATGACAGAGCTCAGGATAGTTTGATTAACCAAAAGAAAACAGCACACATACTAAAGAGCAAATGTGTGGAAATTAGATCCAGGGCTTAAAATAAACACTGTTGTCCGAGTGGGATTTTTACAAGGCAATAGCACTTTCTTGACGGTGTTAGGGTCCTCCACATGTGACTGGCATGTGGAATTTATTAACACGTCTCCTACGGCGAATAAAGGGGAAGACATAAAATTATTCAATTGATACGGCTACTCTTTACTGGTATCAACGCGTCGTGAACTTTTTGTATTTGCTTTCAAGAAAACCGCACGAAGCAAAACAAGCAATGCAAATATACAGTACGAAGAAAGGAGGAATATCAGTGCTATTTATGAATCACTTTCCCGGTATCTTAATGTTGATATCAAACTCCGCGATAAGATAATAATGAATAAAATTCATTAAAAGACAGCAAAACAAAGCTTCAAAGTCATGCATCCACTGAATATCTCTTTATCGTATATTCTGCTACATGTCTCCTCCATCTAACACCATTATTTTTTCCCCCTGCATTTCTGGTCTTAATGAGTACCAGGCAGACGAAAAACAAATCTCCATCAAATATCCAGTTCGGAGGAGTCCCGTCCCGGCCCCGATTTAAAATGTATAAATGCGGTATGCCGCTCATCAGAAGCAAGCGGACCAATCTGCTCGGAATATATATTAGCGCTTTAACATGTGGACGGGGAAATCTCCCATCTGGTAATCACATCCCCTAGCAAAGCAGCCCCGAGCTCTCATCCCCAAAACATATCTGCTGTTAAATTATGTGCATCTAAAACAAACATCTATACAAAAGGGCCCGTTTGATTTCAGCGGATCTACACGCGAGAAATGCCATCAAAACCAGTATTTATTATTTGTTTTTCCAAGACGGAAGCGGTTCTGGATTCACACGGGGAACACTATTGTAGCGTAACTGATTACTATAACCTGCCAACTATTTTAATTCAAATCAATTTTTCTATCATCATAACAGACATTTTAAAAATCCATATTGCTATAAATAAAAATAAACAAAAATTTAAAAACGTGCAAACTGGTACGTGTTGTAAATGAAATTTAACATCCATATACCGAATCACTGAAATCTCAGATTGAAATCGCATGCATAATTCGAACGATGACATCTACACTAAATACAGCATGTCACAATCCCAAACCCCAAACACACATCAAATGGAAAATGTATGACACACAGATACACACGAGCAACGAGCAGACATGCAAGTATTTCCTAACAAATCCCCCCTCCCCGATATTTACTAGAAAAACATTAAACACAACTGACACACAAGTACAACAACATTGCAAACTATGTAGTATAAATATCATTCTAGCCCGGCGTGAATGAGGTAGATCTCAAAATTGACATACCATATACACTGGTGCTACTGAGCATTTCTTGCTGCAATAACAGAAAAAAGGGAAGAAAAAAAGCTGAATCGGAATTTTCACAAGGCGGAATTCCAAAGGTTGCTTTTCATTAGAGCCACTTTTCCTCTCCGCTATCGGATTTCACTGCCTTGAAAAACGTGGGCCCTTTTCGTCAGGTATTCATTTAACCTACATGCATATAATTAAGGCAAAGCAACACCAACAAAAGCTCTCTTGGATAACAACTGAAGAAAGAACGGGGGGAGAGAAGAGAGGAAAAAAACACACACACACATGACCACGAATACAAGTCCATGTCAATTTTACTCGAAACTGCCGTAGGGTGCAGGGATAAAAAAAAAACGAGATCTGAGTGCTGTCGGTGCCATTGAAACACACATTTTAGCAGCTCTCTGAGGACACGAATATACGCACCATGCTGTCCCCTTCTACTTTAAAAATAGATATGTCTGCAGTTGCCCCCACACTGAGAACAGTGACATTGTATTTATTTACCAGATTTATCTATGCAGTGATCGCGTCAACTTTTTACACCCCCCAAACAAAGATCACATAAATTAACTTCCACTCTGGAAAAAAAAGTTACTTTAAAACAACCCCAAACCCCACCCCACTCTCACTTTCTCATTAAACAGCTAACACATGGATCCTAAAGGAAATACGCATGAGATTTTTTAACCACATACGAGCCTAAATATAATACTTTCCAAGCACTAACCCAAGTCTGGAAAGAAATAAACGCCCCAAGATTGACGCGTAAAATTATACTGCGAATTGAAATATTGGATGATGCACAGTGAGGCCAATTGATGTATTAAAAACATAGCGGTCGCTCTTCCGTGGAGCAGCTCCGGTATTTATTTTTTAATTACACTGATCTCGGATGCGCTCCTGCAAAACCACTTACCTGTATTTTGTGACAGGGCAGCCTCTCGGGTTAGGGTAACATCGATCCGATGTGTTTGCTGATGAATGGTTATTCGGGTTAAAGGAGGATGCTTGCCATTTGAAACCATTCCAAGTTAGTGAAGGGAAGACTGAGCACAGCCTCTGCCATGTTGGAATTTCAAACCCAAAACAGCTGCTCCGGAGGAGCCAGCGTGCCTCCGACTGCGCATGCGCACTGGCAGAAAGAGCGAAATTCAAATCACCCGCACCTCCGTACGAATCGCGATCAGAATCAGAATCGCAATTAGAATAAGAATCGGAATGCTCACACGCACCTTGAATTTGTCTGCGGTTGTCAATGGTTCTCATATATGCTATAGATAAATATGCAGAAGACGAGACAAACAGTCCATTTGATATATGCAACGTGCTTGTATACATCTCTGCCTGTTACTAATGGGTACTGGTTTAGGTCTACTAGGGCAAGTGGTCGTTGTTGCCAAAAACTAGGCAAAGTTTTCTCGTATTTTCCTTGAATTGCAAAAAGGGGAAGTAGGCAATTTTCTTAGGATGAATTTTAGATATGACAATGATTTATCCCCCTCCAGTTTGGTTTTGTGTCTTTATTTAAGTTACACACTTTTTATTTTTATTACTATTATTTTCATTGATTATAGCCCCACATTTTACGTGCCTAATAGGAAGAATCAAGCCTTTAATGTCAAAGTCAGAAATGTTCGAAATTAGAAGTTAGAGATGTCGAAACTTGAAGGCTATTTTGCATATGTCTTAGGGGGTACATTTTCTATTAATTAGCGGTTTAATTGGCAGAACACCAACTGGCGGTTGCCTAATAAATGCTTATAAGTAAAATAATTGGTCTCACGGATGTTGTACCGTGGGACTGCTTATGAGTTTCACGCCAGGATATTTCCCGTTAAATGCAATAAATAAAATACCCATGATGCCTTGTTCACACTACAGTTCACGGATTATTCATTTACATGTACATAGGCTACATATATGCAATTCCGTTCCAGATAGTGTATACTAGATAGAAACACAGACATGCGTGTGGGGGGTGTGCATGTGTGTGGGCATTCGAGATACTGTTTTTAAACAGTTATGCTGGTCTGCCATACTGTTCTACACCCTGCATAATAATCTAGTAGTATATTTCCCAATGACAATTATAGAACAAAAGGAGAATTAGTAATTTCAGTCCTAATTAGTGTGTAAATGTCCTGTCCCAGATAGCTCATAATTAGATGATCAGCTGGGAGACATGATTTGAAAAAGACATCAAAAGAAACCACAACTGTCAAGTGAAGTTCATTGCTTTAAATATTACTATGACTTTGAGCTCTCAATCTACTGGGCTATCATTCATATGCCATAATTAGAGTGTTTAAATTAATGCTTCAAATTTAATTTTGAGAAAGGATAGCCATTTATGTGTTTAGTAAAAAGCTTTTTTTTGTGTGCAATACACAGTAATTCAAGAATATTGAACACATTCTAGAACAAAATCCATCTTTTTTTTAAAATGTTGCAATCTTTTTTGTTGCCGTTGTTGTTTTCTTAAGTCTACAGGGGCAGAAAAACGGAACCTCTGTTTGACATGTAATCCTGAAGTTGGCACCCAACGTCCCGGAATACCTTCTCAACCTCATGAGCAAAGACCTTGATATGATGCATTGATTGAGCCCAGGGCACTCCCTGCAGACTCAGTGCGCCGGCTCCTGCAGATCTGCGGCTCATGGGAGAATCCCTACCCAAAGGCAGCGCTCTGCCACTAGACTGCTCTAACAAATGATGGCTCGCACACTCCAAGGTAATAATTACTGAGCCGATTCAGCCTCGCACAGCTGATACCAACAGCAGCTGGTGGTAGTGGGGTGGGCGGGGGGGGGGGTACGGTTTCTTGTTTCTCTTAGTGCTAGAAAGGAAATAGGGAGGTAAATAAATCAATAAACAAACTACAAATAGCCCTGGCCTGCTTGAAATGTATGGCGCACCGACTAGCTAGAGAGCGGAGGGAGAGTGCGGATGGTGTCGCAGATGTACTGAAACCAGGGTAGCTATTAGGGCGCATGTTTTGATGCAGCCAAGAAAGGAGAGATGTAAAGACTGTCATCATTGCCGGAATGGCTCTGCCAAAAAGCATCCAGGCCCGGAGTGGATAGATGCAGCTGCGGCTACATGACATTTAGCCCGATGATCCACATCATCTGTTGAGACCCTCCTGACAGGTTTTTTCTTTTTCCATTTTTTTGTCGTTGTTGTTTCCCATGGACTGGAGGTCGTCTGCAAACTTCCAGAGTGCGTCTCTAAGGTGTAGCGGTGTCCGGTGGTGCGTCGTGCAGACAGAGGGCCCCCCGCCCTCTGCTTTTTGTCCTTGTGTCAGCAGGCAGGACATCCTGAATTATTTTGCTCAGCTGCTACCCTGCTCTCTTGGCGGAGAATGTCAACATCGTCCAGAAACACTCACTGCTTAGATTTTTCCATGATATGATCATTGGTTATAGAAAACAATCATGTAGACATAATCAAAAAAAATCAGCTTCCACTGATACTTCTCATCCAATGATTCGATTGAGATAAACTATTCTCAACTTTGTCCAAATTTACATATCTAGTCAAACTTCCATTTCCTCAGATAAGCCAAACATTCTGTATAATCAGTTATGGATTATGTTATAACCATCCGCTTAATTCCAGTCAGCAAATATAAAAATTCCCCCACCTGTATCTGGAATTGTACTATGGCTGTATAATTTCATGAATATTTGACAATTTATTTGCTTTGATAGATTAATATTCATGTTAAATTCATAGAGAAAATGCCTTGAGGTAGTTGTTCTCTCGCCATATAGCAAGGTCAATATGTTTTACCATTTGGAACACTTGTATGTATTCAGTAAAAGGTAGGAATCAGACATAACACATATATCTCTTCATTGAATAAGAAAATGCTGCAAGACTGTTTGTGGCAGAGACTTACCCCCATAGCGAAACTGTTTATCTCTTCAGCCCTGAGGATAGGGGTTTACCGAGTCATGTGACAGGCTGTATTTTAACCTTCTGCCTGCAGACTCTGATGTCACCTCTGATCACTTCAAGAGTCCGGTGCCTGAATTTTTTTTTTTTAATTCTCTGCAAAACATTGCTTTAGAGAACACAAGTCAGAGCCTGTTAATAATGCATGATTTTCTGTTTTTTCCCCCCCATGATGAGTGTTGTCACATGCATTAGTAAAACCATCACTTTTTGAAGAGATGAAAACATTGCATGTAAATATGTCTAGCCTTAACTTTCCAACCTTTAATTGCTATTAGTTGTTGAAACTTTATGCAATTGGTCAAAGTAATACTGTAAAAAGGTAGACTTACTAATGAAATATTTAATTCAGATGGTCTGACATTTACACATATCCAACAATATTCACATTTCCCATAAAGATAATTGATGTATTTCTCATTTAATTTCAATAGCATGTAATAGAGTTACCTTATTTTTAGAGACTTACAATGAGTAATATTTTATCTATCATTATTCAAATGAAAAATGTCAAAATATTGTATATATTAAATGAGAAAATACATGCCAAGACAGTACAATAAAATGGAACCAGAGATATAACTCACATCTACAGAAGAAATTTCACTATCACATCATTTTATAATGTTATAATATCTACATAAAGGGCAACTTCTGAGACACCCACCTAAATAAAATCTGACAAAAATGCTCAGGTCTATGCACATAAAATAAAGGAACATTCAAAGCATAGATCTCCACAGAGGCAGAACCAGAGATGAAATGAAAAAGAAAAGCAGTTCTCCTGCCATACAATGAAACTCAATGACTGCTAAAGAGAGAGTGAGAGAGAGAGGAGGGGGGGGGGGTGAGATTGAAAAATGAAAGGTTTAGCTTTTTTCCCCCCACATTGATGGTGCGTAGCCGACCACCTTTATGGACTGTGCCTAACATTCTAATGGGGATGAGCTTCAAGTGGATGGTGCCCACCGAGGATGGGCTACAAAATCTCACAATAAAAGCAATGTGATTTACAGTAAATTCCACAGGGCTGACAGCATCACAGCTGAGGGCATAAAGAGTCCTTTCAACGACGGGCCTCCGTGCTGCTCTATCTACAGTCTGGCGGCCGGGCAGCGCTACTTACCACTGGTGACTTTGATAAATAACCGGGAAGTCCCACTGTTGGCTCAAAACTAGAAGTTGTTCAGCTGCAATTCTGCATTTGTCCTGCTTTAATGGGTATGGAAGTGGCTTTAGCAGTAATCTGTCAGTGATTGATTAGGCCTGAGCAAATCCTCACTCAGCTCTCTCTCTCTCTCATTTTTTTTTTCCTTACAGGCCATACACTCCGAAGGCAGCGGCTGAGAATCGATGGCGGGATGGTAGAGTCGGAGCGTGTGCTCTATATACACGAAGTACAAACAACGTTAATTCCAGTCCAGTGAGTGTCTGGTTGAGAGGGGAGGGGTGGGGGGGGTTTGAATCGGGACGAGAAAAAGGAAGCCGAATGATCTGGGTTCCTCTCAAGAACCGGACGGGGAGTGGAAAAGGAACACGTTTTCCCTAAGCTGTACTACTGCCGTTACTGGCTAAAGCCTGCTGTCAGTTACAATTCCGTCTCCTCTCATGCCGTTAATTAGTCAACGTCATGGGTTTTTTTTTTTCAAGTACCGGTTATTATGCTGTAGTGCTACGGCTGACAATGGATATCACAAGTCATATCGTTAGCAGCTATATTAACCTTTGGTATCATCCACTGATGGCTGGGTGAGTTAGCGTGATGGTAGCATTCCGTGGTGCCAGTCGGCAAATGGCTCGCAAGCATGAGACCTGCTGCACATATTACTGTTATGGCCAGACAAAGCCATGACTCTCACCAAATACATATGTTTTCACAGCTACATATATGGTTCAATGTATCTTGAACACTGAAGATCTTACCAGGATAAACTTTTAATTTTGAAATGACCATGACCATACCGGAAATGACCATACCGGTTGATTGATTCTTCTGAATTTTCACTCGTTAATTCACAACATATATCAGGCACGTCATCAACACTGGGCTTTTCATTGTTTAACTTCCAAATGCTTGGACTCCCTGTTTCGCGTTCAGCTA